TTTACTGACGTTTCGCTATTTAATGCTAATAGCTTTCTCAAAGTATTATCAAACCGGAATTTACAAAATCTCAGCATATATATATATATATAACAAAGAGTTAGGGGGAAAATAAACAGTGTATCTCCCAAAATCCAGTTCACTTCCGAAGCAGAATCAGACATCGGTGAACTTCCATTTCTAGACTGCCTAGTTAAGCGAAAGGAAAACGGACATTTTAGTATATCGATATTCAGGAAGTAAACCCACTTCAATAAATATTTAGACTTCAAATCATCACACCCCATCAGCTCAAAGCTTTCAGTTGTTTCAAGTCTTCTTGGACGAACACACTCCCTGATAACGGATGAGCAAGAAAAAGAAGAAGAAATATGAAACATCACTTAAACTCTCAAGAAGAACAACTACCTAAAGAACTTCATCAACAAAATCAACAATGACATTAAGTATGACCGAAAATGCACTCCGAAAACATGAACTTCAACAGTCGTCATTCCATATAGAGCAGAGACGTCAGGCGATATCAAAAGAGTACTCAATCAGCTTGACATCAGAGTTTCCTTCGAAACATCAGACACTGCGAAACAACCTTGTCCATATTAAAGACCAAATCCCTAAAGATTTTCTATCCAATTGTGTCTATAAAATAAAATGCTCGGAATGTGATGTGATCTACATCGGACAAACATCTCGAGAAATCAAAATCAGAAGGAATGAACACCGTAGGGCATCTCTTCGACCACCAAGAAATCCAATTAAACTAGAAAAGCTTGAAAAATCATCAGCCATAAGTCTACACACTATAGAATCAGGTCGCAAAATTAATTAATGATGAAATCCTGCATGCAATCAAACAAAATCCCTACAAAACCAATACTTCAAAATATTGAAATAATCCAGAGAAATTTTAGAAATCACAGGGAACGTCTAACATCAGAAGCACTTCATATCAAATCGAGTCCAAGTTGTTTGAACCGAATAGGAATGATGGAATAAAACAGAATTTTACCAGGTTACAACACCTCGCTTCCTCATGAAGTAGCAAAATTAGCGCAAATGTGGTGAGCAAGTTCACTATGTAAACAAACACTACTTTCATAATTCTACACACTGACAAAATCCAACAGTCTACACTTGATTTTGTTATCTTTACCAGTTCGCCAACTTGACAACGAAAAATGACCCCAGACTGACGAACGATGATCAAGTTAGTAAACTTTATTTTGGTAGAATAAGAGATATATTATTACCTTTGATATTTGGTTTGAACGCTCTTCATTGTTATTTTGACTTTCAATATGTCCTTTTAAGTTGAACTAAGTCTATATTTTTCTCACCCCTAACTCTTTGTTATATATATGCTGAGATTTTGTAAATTCCGGTTTAATAATACTTTGAGAAAGCTATTAGCATTAAATAGCGAAACGTCAGTAAAAACAATCTCGTTTTGTTTTTCATTCATTGGGAAATACAAAAACCTCTATTATAATGAATATCATATACCCAATGCCCAAATTTTTTCAAACCGTTAAAAGTGAACTTGGTTTAGACATATGTTGTCTGTTGTTGTTCCTGCTGGTGTTGGCCAAGAATCTTCGTCACCTCTGTTTTATCTATGTTCACTTGAAGTCCTATCTTTGATGCTTCTTCTGCCAACTTGTTGCTTTTCACTTGCATATCTTCCAGTTTGCCATAGTTTCATAATATTTTCTTTTGTCTTTCCTGACACTCTTCTTCACTCTCTTGTTCAGCGCATTGTAGCTTGCATTCAACTCCTGTTTTTTGTTGCTAGCCGGTGCAACGGAAGTTAGAATTCATGAATTATTTTATTTTGTCCAATGGATTGATTCTTAACGTTTTCGTCCTGTAACCTAATGGCTATATATATATATATATATATATATATATATATATATTTGATCAATGAATGGAAATACTGGATACGTATCGTTGAAGAGCCACAAAACAGGACAACAGCTTCTGGTACTACCTGGTCTTTAATGATCCCCTGGTCATTTTCTCTCGTAATGAATTCCAATCCTCAAAAGTGATTATTTAAATTTTATAGTGCTGCGACAAAAGCTTAACCAACTGTTGATCAGTTGATATTTTACCTACATAAGAATTATTTATGACCTCAAGTTGTAATTTTATCAAAAGAAATGTAAAACAACACAGCATCTTAATATCTGATTATAGTGTAAGTTCAAGGAACTGACTATATGACCTTTTGCTAAAGGATATTACAAATATTATAAAAAGTATTACATGAAATAAACCTATGAAAGTGAGTATAGAAAAGGTTTTGTAACCAGAAGGTCCTGGGTTCGAACCCTGCCGGTGGGGGGCGTACTGCTGAAGAGCCCCGAACTAGGACGAAATGGCTGGCTGTGTAGAACTCCCAGGTTTTCCAGTGGTTCACTAACTGATATCTATTTTAAATCGAAATCTGCATATGATATAAAACAGGATGTGTCTGCAAATAAGATTTTGAAGTGTCATTAAGAAAACACTAATTATACTACTGTTCGCCTTATTTTGTAAAATTTGTGAAGGACACGATTTTGATTCTTTGGCATGCTTTTTATTATCCTAATTAATGATGCATATCTTAACACTGAAAATAATCCAATTAAAATTTATTTGCCAAATAATATAATAAAAATAGTTATGATAATATCAAGAACTCTAGTAATACAATAACCTCTAACATATGTTGTTAGACATTGTTTCATTTCAATTGTTCAAACTAAGCCAATTTTCATGATATGAAGGTCATAAAAGCATAAAACACAATAAACAGGTTTGCTTTCTAAATATCTAATTCATTGTTTACTTTTTTTGTAGAGAGTAATAAAATTTACACTTATTTTTAAAGCCATTGCCATTAAGAATAATAAACTTTCCTTAAATTTGAAATTATTTTAATTTTTTTTAAAGAACTTCAAAATAATTCGTTAATTGTCAGTGAGTAGACAGATGTGATATGCAATCAGCCATTTTCATTTCATAAACTGTTGATTCAGTCCTTATTAGATGTTTTTGTGTATTCTAAGTTGTTTTCACACTAACAGCATGTATGCTATTTGTAATGGTTAGGGGTATCTATTTGTTCACTCAGTTATCTATGACGTTGATTTTTTAAAATAAATAAATGAGACATAAGACTTAATTATGCTGGCACATTTTATAAAATAAATATTTGAAGTAAGGCCTGTTAAGAAATGAACGACCTTTTATTTAGAGTTCAATGTATTTATGAATTAGTGTCGATTGTGTATATCTATGTTATCGATCTCAGGAAGCACATATTCTGTGAAGATAACTGTCAACATTGTTTCTAACATGAGAGCTTCACCATTTACAAATTTGCTCCAGAATAATCTCCATATTTCCCCCAAGGGAAATGACTGAATTGTTATGAGACTAATACTAGTACACACATTAGCGAGGATGACCTAAAATGACCTGAGAGTATCGGAAAACTGTTTCATCCTAGTTTTGGGAGTCATCGGCAGTACGCACCCACTGGGAATCAAACACAGGGCAAAATAACGAATTGAGCGAAAAAATATATATTCCTTTCCAATTAGCTCTCATTAGCTCTACACCAATATATAATTTTCTGCACTAATATATAGCTTTTTTATGTAAAAAAACTATAGATTAGTGTAAAGCCAATGACAAGGAACTAATTGAAAAGGAATGTATTTCTGAGCTCAATTTTTAGTTCTAAATTTATTAGTTTTACGAACTGCCCCAAAAAATTAGTGTTTACAATTGGGGGATAATTAAAACTATCTTATTGAGCTTTGAATCTTAGAATCAAGCGAGAAGTTGCTGAGCACTCATGACAGCATCCTAAGGAGCTTAATCACACGACATTTATTGAAGTGTGATCATTTGGTGACGTTTAGTAAGAGCTTTATAGTTATTGATAAGCAGGGTAATTGAAAAGCTGTTGGTGTCGCTGAAGCCTGAGCAGTCAAATTAAAGAGATCAGATCTATGTACACAAAAGGAGACATAAGTAGTTAGCTTAAACCTGCCTTGGTAGCATGCTTTTATTTTACCTTTATAATTCTGCTTCCCTTCCCTCTTTTCTTTACAGTATTTTTCCATTTTTATTATGACTATAATTATTTTATGACATACTGTCAGCTCTCTTAGGATATGTGCAAATCAAAACTTATAATTGTGAATTCGTCTCCGTGAGGAGTGTTTAAACTATCTTTTGAGTTTATATCAGATATGTTAGAATTTGTTATCTAGTCCTATACGGTTCACATATGTCAAATTTGTTTTTCTGCAAAGTTTCCCTGTATTTCATTATTATCAAATCTAGATGTTTATAATCGTATTAATTCTACCACAATTACTCCACTTTATGCGCTTATATGGGCTTTGATGAATATGATTTACTTCATAATGACGTTAACAGATTATCACCACTCACCGCTTATGATGGGTTGTATATTTGTTAAAATTGATACTTATCTGTTGTCACAAATGTTCATATGTTTGAATGTATTTAAACATAAAAGGGAACTGTGTAAATAACAATGCTTGTAGCGAAGTATTCAGTTGACAAGTCCTATAGACATTTATTAATTCATTAAATACTGCTTTTTTCACAGTTGTTTCTTGTTTTAAATTTATTAAGGGAAAGAAATGCTTTCAACAAGTGAAAGAGGCTGAACCATATAAATAGAGGGTAGACTAAATGGTCAGCAGAGATGTAAATACTTTTTAATTAAAACACTAAAACACCTATCCAATTTTTGAATTGAAAGGTTTAATCAAACAAGTTTCATTGCTGATTTTCAGCTTTCATTCCCATTATAACCGGGATTAATCATAAGTATCATAGTAAGATTTATCTTGTATCAGCTGCCCATTCTATATTGCATCGTGATACATGCATATATTTATAAAACTTTCTGAATAACGATTTAAAACGTTTTGATGGATTTTATTCTATGCTTGTCACTTATTCACTAGATGTCTCAGGTTCTATCTTGTTCAAACGAAAAGCAGGGACGTCAATATTATTATTATATCACGCCTATACAGTTTACAGGTGATTAAATTGATCTTTTTCTGTGTTTAATGTCGGTGGTCCAGTAGTAGAATTTTCTAGAAATATGTACATGGTTCAAGGTTCGATACCCAGCCATCGTACTCGCGAATCCAATCTGCTAAAGAGTGAAGGTCAGGTGTAAGGCTAGCAACCCCACCCTGTAAAAAGCTCTAATGCTACTGAAACTTCAGGGCCTCAAGCTTAAAGTCTTATGTCCAACCCAGAACTCAAAGGAATAAAATAAAGTAATTTCCTGCGTTTAACAAACCAGTATTGCGCAGTTGTTAATACCACGGTAAATTGTATATATTTAAATACAGAAAACATTTGGTCAACCAAAAGAAACCTTTTTCTTATGTTACAATAGCTATGAAGTGAACTTGTAATTTCTTACACATTGTGTATACTCATCCGTATAGTGGCTTGTAAACAAGAACACTGTACAGTTTATATTTTTCAATTATCGCTGTTTCATCCAAGCGTGTGCTCCTCTTATGTATTTCTAAATGCGTCTGCATACATTTTAGTCACTAAAACTCTGATGAATTTCGTAAAATGGTCAAAGTACACATTTTTCATTCCTTTAAGTTCCTTGTGGAACATCAGGCTTCAAGCTAGATCTTTGAAGTTTAGGTAGCAGTAGTGTTTGTTTTTACGGGATGGGGTTGCTAGCTTCATGCCCAGTCTTCCCTCTTTACTAGTGTTATTACCGGCTTAGTGAGGTAAAGGAGTGCGTCGGCCGAGGAGTGAACCCCGGACCACCTGCGTACTATACCACCGACGCCCAACATACTCTATGCATGATTATAATAATCATAATTTCATGATGATAAATTACCAAGGTATTAAGGGTGCACTTTACTATTTTGGATTATTAGAATTGTTAAAGCTTTTATTCTCAGAAGGATTTTTGTGCCAAATCATCTTTCGGTAATGAAATTATCTAAAAAGTACTGTTTAATGTACACCAGATATATTATGATGAAAGTGTTTCAAGTTTATAAAAATTTCTGTGCATCTCATCAAAAACATTACCACTAAGAACTAAAAATACATACATACCATCTGAAGAGTTCTTTTAACTTTCTTGATACTCTTTATGAGTCTCAAGAGTCATACAAACATATCCATCAAAAATATTTTGAGTTTCGAAAAAAAAATCTGCGTTGAATTTTCACTTTGTACTTCTTAATTTGCAAATCATGAAAATGTGGTGTGTTATCAGATAGGCTGTTTAAGATAATTTTGTTTTCTGATGTATATGTTTATAGACAGACTAAAATTAAAAATCTAGTTATTAATGTGACAACTGATGCTGTGGTGAGTACTACTTATAACCAGATATAAGTAGTATGCTAGTAAACGAATTCACATAAGCAACAATATGTTTCGGACACTGGAAAAAGTAATCAAAGAACAGAACTATGAGAAGAACGTTAGAAACACTGTGCAGAACCCAACAAGCTATCGAATCTGTTGATATTTGGCCAATTCGCGAATGACGTGCAAGAAAAGCATTGGAGATATGGTATACCAAATTTATGTACCTACAATGCGTCTCATCGGTCTTTCCTTCTTTACTATACTACTTACTTAGATTAATTCGATAAAGAAGGTTATGCTATTAGTGAGAAAGCGTATAAATCGTTACGCATATATATTGGATAAGATTTTCATCCCAAAAATTCCTTCCTGTTGAAATTCATCAGTTGTCATATGCCTAATAACATTTTGTTTTTATAATAACAAAAATTACTTGAAAGTATTTTTTTGATGAAAAATATTAGAAATATGAGCATAGGTTATACTGAATTTCACCTATTTAAAATTGATAATATGAACATTTATTTTTGTATTCAGGTACCTCATTCTGCACAAACGTGGTACAATGTGAACAGTCAACCATATACAAAAAGGAAAAATAGCCGATTAAACAGAGATCGTCGATTCTTCTGTAATCCTATGGGATGTATCTAGCTTATTACATTGTAATTTATTAGTACACACGTGTGTATGTATGTCACATACCAGATAATCAACGAATAAAACAGAAAACAAATTATCATCATATAATTAAATATATATTTGTTTGTTCAATTGTTGAAAAACGTGATTATATCTATGAGTGTTGCGTTCAAACAGCCTGGTTATCGTAAAAATTATTTTTGAACACTAATCGTTTGATATCCGAAATTACTGTCTATAGAATACACTAAATTCAATAACTGTTCAGTTGATTCATCACTTGGTTACTTCAGCATAGTAAAGATCATTCCTTAATAGCTAAATAATTTTAGAATGTCAAAAATCAAACTTGGCATCAAGATAAGAAAGTCTCTTCTAATGAATTTCAGTTTACTTAACAGACCAGATCTTTCATATCGCTTCTTAGTTGACGACACTGTATTGCATATCCGATCATCGGAAGTTAATCAGTCCTCACAATTCAACAATAACATGAGATACTATTTATATCAATGAAGAGCTAATGATTCGTGAGATGAATCTGTACTTTCAATCCCGAAAATTACTGAGATTTTATTCACAATTATACCAACAAATATCAAAGATGATAGTTCATTTTAGTAGTTGAAAATTCTTTTCTTTAAGTACAAGATTCTATATTATCAACATTACTGCTTATCTCCTAGTGACGGAACATTGTATACCTATGTACCTGAGTTAAGATAAAACAGGTAACCAGTGATTTGTTCAAATAGGCTGTCTTCAAATACTTGACTTAAGGTACTCTTTATTTAGATAATAATCCATTCGTTTCATTAGGGAAGCTCTTATGTCATGTTTTATTTATTTTGACTTCTTGATTTTTCCTCTCTGTGGAAATGTAGCTCATAGAATTAAGCACTCGACTTTCAGCTAGTGGGTAATATCATCGTCCTTCACAGAGTAAGTCAGGTTCATATCCTGGTACATTAAAAATCTGTTACAGGGAAGTGTTACATAATACTATTACGTGACATTTACAAAACCTGACAATTTCAAACAATTCAAAAACAAAGCTTGAAGGTTTACCATGTAATTAGAAGTATTTCTTTATTACAGAAGTATCATTCTTAGTCGTTCATATATATCACGGTGTGATATGGACAATGTGTGCCAATGGAATATTATTCGCACATATTCTTACAGTTCAATTCGACATTAGTAACAGAATACAATATATCTATTTGATGTTAGAGATAGAATACTTTCCCACAGTTCAATACTGCATTAGCAACAGAATACTATGTATATATAAACATTCTGTTTTTTGTCGTTTGATGTAAACCAAAATCACACGCTCAATGATTAGTTAACGAATATAAATTATATATATATAGTTGTTACTAAAAAATACTAAGTGATTACTTCGTTCTCAATAATACGATGAAATTAAACCGAAACAATGCAAAATGAGGTATTTTGAATGTTATTCAAGTAGCGCGAATCCACACAAAATAGTGGATTCTCTTTTGATAAATTAAAAGCAGAAATGCTGAATAGTATACTTAAAAGTCTTCAATTATTCATTGTTATTTATTTATTTAAACTCAGAAAAACTTGGTACAATATGGCACCAAGATGATATGCCACACAATAGTAACAAAACAACATAGATTAAAAGTAAAAATATGGGTGCAGAACGGAAAAAAACTCATCAGGAAGGGAAAAAGTCATACTTAACAAGTTCAAACAGTATTCGTCAACTCTCATTGGGAAGGAAAAAAAAGGAAATTGCAACACATTCGCCATTGATTACGATTTTTGGCCATATCCGATAACGTTTCGAGCTATCTCTCGGACTCCAATCAGGGAGTCGTGACGCACCAATTGATGCTAATCTAGCATAAATAACCTTCATTCTACGACGCCACGTCATGAACTGACCACCTCTCCGCCGTTTCCATCCCGTCCTAGGGCCAGCGAACACAAACTTGTACAAAAACCTCTCGGATGACACTCGCAGCACATGTCCAAGCCACCGGAGCCGGTGTTTCCAGTTGATGACACTCAGCAAATGGGCATCTCCGCTGAATTCAAACACACACCACCGGACATCAGACTTACTCACGCGATGATGCCATCGAACGCAAGCAATCCTGCAGAGACATCGGTGATTGAACACGCAGAGCCACCGCACATCCTCAGCTCCGAGAGCCCAGCTTTCACAGGCGTAGACCAACACAGCCCGCACCAAAGCACTGTATACCCGACCTTTGACTGCCAGGCTAACGTTGCGATGGCACCAGAGGTGGCTCAAGTTGATGTGTGTCACCCTGGTTTTCATGATACGGCTCGTCATCATTACCACTCAAAATATTTATTATAAGCTGCTAGGGGTGATTACACAAGTAAACTAACGCTCTCACTAAGAAGCACATGAAGCATATTTGGCTTGATTTACGTCGGTTATTTCGTTTTTCCTAAGTTTTAATGTCCATTCACAGTGTTAAAATAAAATTTTCTGTAATTGTTATTTATGAATTTTAAACTTAAATTCTCTCTGATAAGTCTGAAAACAGAAATGACAAATACTAGAGCGAAATAACAAGGGAATCATTTTATCCCCTGGTTTCTTTTCAGCCGCGAACTACCTGTAATACTTCACACCATAACTTATAATACAATTTTAACATACTTTTGTTTTCTATTGAAAGTCAGTCCTCCAGTAAAAAATATTGTAACGTCACAGCGAATTAAATACAGGAATCTTTACTTAACTTAAGGTATATTATAACTGTTTTATAATGACGAAGTTTCTCACGAAAATTGTTGTTGGGGTGTAGCAACGACAAAGTTTAGATATTGCTTGAACAGTTTGATAAATCAGCAACAAGTGTGTTACAAGATGAAATAAAATACGATAAATAGAACTCAGAAGAGTGGAAGATGTGTAGGAAAACTATTAAAAAGACGGTGTTATCTGTAAGAAAATAAAGTGAGTAGAAACCAGAGTACCAAAAGCTGTAGTGTTACATGAAAGTTATGCCGAAAATGTGGGAACAAAAGGATGTAACCGGTAAATAAAGAGTTAAAAATGGGCGAGTTATCAGGATCAACAACAAATTTCTTTTGGAAGCATAAACCGGGTTTTAATCACCTTATTTCGATGACCTCAGTAAACCAAAGAATTTTGGCTGACTTGTCCGTTAATCATTATAA